TTTCTCCATGATCCCCAGCACCAAGATGACTGTACCTGTAGCATCATAAAGATTCCTCTTGGATTATATCTTTAATGAAGTGCATTTTAACATCTATTAGTTCTTTCATACAAAAGCATGATTTTTGCATAAAAGGGTGGCACTTTGACTATGGAATAAACCACAACAGGATTAACAAGTTCATTTGCCTCACGTAACAAACCTTTAAGCCATAAAGCTTCTTTAATGACTTCAGTAGTAGCCACATATTCAACTTTTGTGGTTGATAAAACTACAATAGACTGCTATGAGACTTCCAGCTTATACAAATATTAGACAAAGTAAACAAATAAGAGGTAGTGGATTTTCTATTATCCCTATCACTAGCATAGTCAGAATCTACATATCCTTTTAAGACAACTTATTCTTTACAAGTTTTAAAACACAATCCTAAAACTGTAGATCCTTTTAAATATCTCAATAACCATTTCATAGCAGTCTAATGTTTAGGATCAGGGTTTGCCAAAATCTACTCAAAGTACTTACAAAATGAGCAACATCAGGTCAAGTGCGTACCATGGTATATATAACAAATCCTACAATATTTGCATATGGAACCTTTTGTATGTTTTCTATGTCAGATTCATCATGAGGGCATTGGACTTTACTAAGCTTAAAATAACATGCAAGAAGCAAAGTAACAGACTTGGATTTATGGATAGCAAACTTAGATAACACATTTTTCTCATAGTTAGACTATGCTAAAATAAGTGACTGGTAGGATTTATTCCTCTTGATATCCATTCCCAAAATTCTTCTAGCATAACCTAATTCTTCCATTTCAAATTCAGTACTTAGCACTTTCTTAATGTCATTTGTATCACATATCTTTTAGCCTATTAATAGCATATCATATACATATAAAAGCAGATAAACAAGCACAGAGTTACTACTATTCTTTTAAAATAAAAGGAATGATCGAATGAATTTCTTATAAAACCAACGGATGACACAAAGTTATCAAACCTATATACCATTGTCTAGGTGAATGTTTTAGACCGTATAAAGATTTTTTTTAAAGACAAACATGTTGATATTAACCCATGTGGCTAACTCAAATAAATTGTTTCATCTAAGTTACCATGTAAGAAGGCGATTTTAATGTCCATTTGTTCAATTCCTGGGCTTTGTGCAACCAAAGCAAGTATAACTCTTATAGTGGTGTATTTAACCACTGGGGAAAAAATCTCATTGTAATCAACGCTAGGTTTTTGGGTAAAAATCCTTTAGCAATTAATCTAGACTTAAATCTAAAGGGCTGTGTAAGAGAGTTTTCCTCCTTAATACTATAGATCCTTTTACAGTCTACTAAAGACTTATTTTCTAGTTTAGGCAGAAGATTCCAAGTATTATTTTTTACAAGGAACTTCACTTTCTATTTCATAGCCAGCTACCATTCTTTAGAGAGTTGACAGCTCACAGCCTCCTCATAAGACTTTGACTCTTTAAAGGCCAAATCTTGATATGACAGGATAACAAGAGACATATAATCATTCATCCTTATATGTTCTCTTATCTCCCTTCTAGTCCTGTTCCTGGCTAATTGATAATCACCTAAAAGGTTTCGCAAGTCATCAATAGGTTTTTCCTTTACCAGGTTCATGAGAACCTGACACATCAACATGTTCTTCACTAATTTCATTTTCACCGTAATCATGCTCAATAGAGGATCCAAGCTCTACCTACAGCCCGACCCTCTCCTCTTTTTGGCTCTCTTAAGCATCATTTGAGACCCTTTCAGTCAGACAAGGCATTTCAATTTCATTGAAAGACACATTTCTGTTGGTAATCATTTAAAAACCTTTATTCTCTCTCACCCAAAGTTTGTATCCTTTTACTTGTTCAGGACATCCCATAAATATAGATTTCAAGGATCTAGGTTTTAATTTTCCTAAACTTTGGTAGTAATAGGTTGCACAACCAAAAGTTCTTAAGGGAGAATAATCAACCAGCTTACCTAACCATACTTCCTCTGGAGTTCTACCTTCCATAGAACTAGCGGGTGTCCTATTTACAATGTATACAACTATCATAACAGCCTCACCCCACAACACTTTAGGAACTCTAGGTAAACATCATGCATCTTACCTTGTCTAAAATGGTCTTATCCATCTTCTCAGCTACACCATTCTGATGTGGGGCATTTGGGATAGTTTTATGCCTTAGGATCCAATCATCTTTACAAAGTTGGTCAAATTCAACATTACAAAATTCCAGGCCATTGTCTGTTCTCAAAATTTTAATCTTTTTACTATTTGATTTTCAATTAAAGTTTTCTAAACCTTCAAAAAGTATCTAATTTTTCATTCAAAAGAAATACCCACACATTTCTTGAAAATCATCAATTTCTATTTCCACCTTGGTAGGTGGTGGATGATGGGCCCTACAAGTCAACATGTATAAATATTGAAGGATAGATATAGTGTTATGTTTTCCCGTATTAAAGTGAGCTTACATTGTTTGCCTAAAGTACAATACTCATAGAAGGGAACTTTAGAAATAATATCCTTACTCAATGCCCCCTTTTCACTTAAAATGTGCATTTCTCACTAACATGGACTATAGTTTGTTGTGCCATTTCAGGGTTGCATCAATCTCAACACTAGAAGATTTAGCATTGTGACTTAAAACAATGGCTTTAGTGACCTATGCATTTCTTTTGGTACCTTTGAAAATTACTAAGGTACCCTTAATTATTTTCAAATAACCATTTCCTAACCTACCTTGCAAGCCTATGTCATCTAGATTACCCATTGAGATTAAGTTCCTATTCAAGTCATGGACATACCTTACCCTTTCTAAGGTGAAGGTGCATCCATTTTGATAAGAATGATTTTTTGAATAGTGTGTTGATGGGAATGTGTGGTTAGAAAATAAGGAAACGTTTTAAATTTATGAGTAATATTATTTTATTGAAATATATGTAGTTGAAATGATGTCAAAACACAGTTTAAAAATGTATTTTTTTTTTTTAAAGAATGAGGATCAAACAAAGGCTAAGACTGACCTAGACTCATTCGCCCTAGAATTTAGGATGAATTGTCCTGGAACGAGGTTAAGCCATACACACACTCATCCTTTGAGAGATTATGATCAAAAGATCTCGTCCATCTATGTTAGACGAGGATTAGACTTTCTCGGGCTTGATTGGACTCTTAATATACATTCGAGCATAGGCTACAAGTGTTGAGACTTGCTACTCAACCCTTAGTCGATTATGGTCAAGAAATGTCAAGACTCACTTGGCTAACTCAGTCTTTAGTAGCATTATGCAAGAATGATAAAATTTAATCATCCATTTTGATGGATCATAATTTTTATTTTGAAAGTCGAGCTGAGCCGAAGTCATCCTAAGTGTCTAGTCGAGCTTATGCAAGTCTCGAATTCTTTACAACATAATTTCCTTAAAAGGTAGATTGGATCCAAAGTTACGCATGACCTTCATTGAGCTAGGCCAATCAAGCTCAAAGAAGCTCAAACTCGAACATATTTCCTTCTAAGGGCTTTTAATATCAAGCTCAAGCAAGATTTGAGCTTGAGCATAAATTTCTTTCAAGTGTCAAGTATAACCCAATGCGTTTACACGTAGATGTTAAACAAATTATTCAAAGAAGGTCTACCTCAAGCAAATCTTAACCTTGTTCGATCATAATTTGATCTAAGGGTTGAATTGAGTCTAAGGAATCACAACCCTTTCAAGAATAATTTAGGGCTAAGTCGATGGAATCACAACCCCCAGTGAGTCTCAACCTTTAGGGCAAAGTCGATATTCGAGCATGTTTCAGACCTCTTCAAGAATAATTTAAATTTATTACAAATATAACTCGAGCAAAACTCAACTTATTTTATACTCGAACGAGGTCAAGATATAATTGTGCTTTACTCATTCCCCACATGATGTCGAGACTCGTTTGAACTTGACCTTAAAGAAAGAACTCAAACGAGGTTAGGAGTTAGTTAGACTCGACCCAGCTATGATTAAGCCACACCTTGGTTAAGACCAAGGCTTGCCTCTGCACTTAGAGGAAAATATGATAGAACAAAGTTGAGACTCTAAACTTCCTCACCCTTCCAAGGGAATTATCTAGAACAAAATCATGATTTTTTGGGCTCGAATCAACCCTTATATTAAATTATGCTCTAATATGGTTAGGACTTATTTCAGCTAGAGGAAAATTTTTCTAAGATCAAGGTCTATTGTTACTTGTATTCTTTTTTATATTTAGAAGAGACTATGTTCAAAAATGGTCCAAAATATACTTGATATCAACTCTGCAATTCATGAGAAATCTGTTCGAATGAGTCGAGACTTGCATAAGCTCGACTAGGCACTTAGGATAACATAGGCTCAACACAACTTCTAAAATATATTTTGGTCCATCAATGTGGATACTCGCTAGGGATTAGATTCAATTATATTTTGCATAGATCTCTTTAAGGACCCGATCAAGCCAAGAGAGTAATGACATCTATTGACTTAGGATATTGAGATGATTTAGGAGGCCAAGTTGAGCCCGAAAGTAAATGATTAGTCACGACAAAAATATTTATATTAGCTAAGTAGTAAATGCAACATTAATGCATAATCAAGACACACTACTCACGAAAACAAGCTCGTGGTGTTACACTAACGCTAGACGAATACCATGGAGATTATTAAATGAGGATGCGCCAAGCATACTTTCATAGTCACAAATATGCACCTTGTCCCTTATTCTATAGCATAAGGAAAAATTAAGCTCCTGTTTGACAAAACTTTTTATGAAAGTGTAAACTGATAGAACTTCTTTTTTAATTAAATATTTTCAGGTAACTTATGTATATTTCTTAATCACAAATTTAATGTAATTCACTAACTTATAAAAAAAATAAATAAATCCCTTTATCAAAAGAGTTACAAAGTTATGTCGGATACTTCTGATTGGTTGAACGTAGTTCCGTTGTCGTAGTGCTATTTGTATAATTTTTTCTTAGTTATTCCAGGCCATCGATGGTGGGATCTTCAGGGGGCCATATTTCAAAACAAAGCTAAGTCCATTTGGCTCCGACCGTGAGAAAGAGAGCTCTCGCCGATATTCTTCTTTCTGCTGAAGAAATCATCGCCGATTGAGCATTAAATCGCTCGCACACAAAATTTTCGGCAAAGCCAAAGAAATGGATGTTATAAAATCGCAGCAAATATCGGCACGGCCAATCGACAAGGCGGTAGTGCATCCGCTAGTGCTGCTGAGCATCGTCGACCACTACAACCGTGTTGCACGCGACAGCAAGAAGCGCGTTGTTGGTGTTCTTCTTGGAACTTCCTTCAAGGGCACCGTTGACGTCACCAACAGCTATGCCGGTCAGTATTTCTCGCTGCACCGTCTTCGGATCTGACAATTTCTCTCTCACATCGATTTCAAGCTCATTCTTCGGATCTTTATCTATATTGTTGCTTGTTGACTGAAGTTGTGCAGTTAGATTTGGTTAAGATTTTAGGACTTTAGTGTTCCTCTAAAATTGTCTTTTGAATTTTGTTTGTATGGGGGGAATTTAGGGTTTGAATTTTTTATCTTTTGGAGTGAGGTGCAGTTCATACTTAAGCTGAAAATAAAGATATGCTCACGATTAGAAATTTGAAGTCCACTGAGCTAAATATGGATTGGCTATTGAACTTTTCGAGCCGTTAGAATTTAAGGATTATGTTAGAATTTTAATGGTTGTAAATGAATAGTACTAAACAGGAAAATATGAATCTACTGGGAGTGGTCAAGTGGTGGGATTCCTTTAAATTCGTATTGGATGCCTTTAATGAAAGCTTTATGTTCTGATCCTTAAATTAAGGACCCTATTGGAAGCACTAGAATCGGAGTAGAATTTTAGAGAAATTTTCAAAATAGACCCTTTCAGTGGCCAAAGGAAAAAAGCCATCGTCTGATGGTTGACGAGCTTATCACTGGTTGAGTTACCAATACTTATGAGGAAGATTGTGTCGTTACTGCAGCAGTCATTGCAGAGTTAGTTTATGGTGTTTTTGGGAGTGTTAAATAGTAGACACTGTCAGGATGGTAGTATCTAGACTAAAAAGTTTTCAAAGTTAAAGTGAAGGGTAATATTGGATTATTCAGTGTAGAGATGCTGTTTAAAAGAGTTATGATTTGGCCCTTGGAATTTTCCTCTAGTATTAAACAAGCACAGCCCACCTCCACCTACTCATTTCCCTGTCATGAAACTCAGTTTAGTTTCCATTCTCATTTCCCTTAATAAGTCTTATTTCCACTACTGTATTTATATGCAAATGTTATACAATTTTTAAAATTAGTTTCAGTTACTGTGAGAATATTTTGAGAAGCATAAATGAGAAGATATTGTGCATGCATACCTTTCTCTTTTTTTATACTAACTACAATGTATAAAAGAAATTGCTTAAATAAATATATAATTATGATTGAATGCCAATTATCTATGCTTGTTTTTAATCAAACTTCGTGATATAATTCATTCTTGACATATATTTGTTCGTCCACTAATGGGAGTGACAGGAAAGTTGAAACCGAAGAATAGACATTACATTTGAATCTAATACTTGTTAAGAGATTGTCAAAAAATCAGCAGACCTATTGAAGTATTTTATAAACTGTGTATCTCTGCAGTTTTTAAAATAATTAAGGAGAAGATACTTATTATATATTGTTGTTGTGTCATACAGGCATGTTATGGTTAAAGATTAATGCAGTAAAACCATTCGATCTTTCTTATTTTTCTACATATATTATTTAATGCAGGACTATTTCCCATTTCTTCCTTTGCAGTATGTATCTTTTAAAGTTTAGAAATCTCAATTGTACTTCACGTGTTACATAATGCTATGGCTTTAATTTTATATTCTGGTGATATATGTAGTGCCTTTCGAAGAAGATGACAAGGACCCAAGCATCTGGTTTCTTGACCACAACTACCACGAATCAATGTTTTCCATGTTCAGAAGAATAAATGGTATGAAATTCTCAATAGTTTCTGTCAAAACATTTCTGGGAGTTTCTGTTGCAATTCCATTGACGCCTAAATTCTGTTAGCCAAGGAGCACGTTATTGGTTGGTACAGCTCTGGTCCAAAACTTCGGGAAAATGATCTAAATATACATGCGCTTTTCAATGAGTAAGATCCGTCTGTCCTTATATGGGGAAAAAATATTAGCCTTTTCCTTTCATTGACAGATATTTGACTACTTACAATTCTTGTGCTCTGTAATTACACCGACTTTTGTCTTAGACCGAATTGATAAAGCTGCCGAAGCTGACATGTTATTAACGTTTACAGAAATATCTTTGTAGAAAAATGTTATATGCATATTATTCTTAGATGCATACTTATCTTGTAGTGTTTTATTGGTGCACTATCTACTATATATGACTTGGCTATTGACATGCAAGGGAAAAAGACGACTTGAATACCTCATTCTTATCAGTCATAGCTATTAGCTAGAGAAGAATAGTATTGAATGAATTATCTCATAATTAAGATATAGCCAGGATCTCATTCTTATCAGTCATAGCTACTAGCTAGAGAAGAATAGAATATATTGAACGAATTATCTCATAATTAAGATATAGCCAGGATTTGGTATATGAAAAGCTTCTTCAATTGTTACAAATGGAAAACTTTGATTGTGAAGAATTATGCTTTTCTTCAAATTTCTTTCTGTGATATTTAAGATCATTTCTTTGCAATCTGGAAGCATTTATAAACGGTGTGGCATGAATGTTATATAGCTCACCCTTTCAAGTCACTGATTCTCTACCCATTCGCAAGAAATTCTGAAATTTGTAGCAGCAATCGCTTTAAGAAACTTTTGTGTAATTCGTACAAAATACTGGAATTGAAATCTATTGAATAACTTCTAATGAAATTTGCTAAGAATAAGTATTGTTTAAAATGCAATTTAAAATATCTCTAGATCTATAGACTTACTTTTTCACAATAACAATGGGATTATACACATTTTTCTTTTCTGTTTCTTCCCAGTGATGACTAAGTTCCCTTAGCAATTTTTTAATAATCCTCATTGAGCTTACCAGATCTTTGTAAGTAGGGTTTGGTTAATATAAAAATTTATTTCATTTCTGAAAAATTCTAGTTGGTTTTAGATGTCCCTCCTTTCCTTTTTCTCTGCTGTATTTAATCTGCAGTTTTCCCTTTTTTCTTGGCTTTTCTCACCACATCCAGTCCTTGTTCTTTTGCTGAAAGTAATGTCTATGAACCCTTCCTCCTCTATCTCCACTACTCTTAGTTGAGCTAAAGTTATGCTTAATTTTCTGAGAATCGTACATTTTATAACAACTTTCCTGTGCATTCTCATTAACCAATTTTTTTCTGAATTTTATTTTTATTTATTTATTTATTTTGGTCAGCAATAAATCTCTGTTTATGTATTGCAGCTATGTCCCCACCCCTGTTTTGGTTATTATAGATGTACAGCCAAAAGAGCTTGGAATACCTACTAAAGCCTATTATGCTATCGAGGAGGTTAAAGAGGTACATTAAAACAATAGTTTTGTTTGCTTGTTGAACTCGGTTATATATTTGCTTACTCAACAAAAACTTTGAAAATAGTTAAGATATAAATAGAAAGATTACAATCTCGAAGCTGGTTATTTGGTAGAAACCATATGGAAATGTGCAAAATTCTAGTCTAATGTTTGGATGGACTTGCAGAATGCAACTCAAAAAAGCCAGAAGGTATTTGTGCATGTTCCCTCAGAAATTGCTGCTCACGAAGTTGAAGAGATAGGTATCTCAATCCCATTCAAGATGTGCATTTTCCATATAAAGCTGTTTTTTAATATTGTTTAATCCAAGAGGATAAGCCAAGCCCACTTGGAAGTGCTTCAATTTTTGTTTCCTTTTATATTATCAATGTTGGATCCTTTATGAACCTGTCTGCCACTTCCACTCACCCTCCTTATGAACAGGGGTTGAACACTTGTTGAGAGATGTGAAGGATACAACAATCAGCACGCTTGCAACAGAGGTTTCTTTTCCCACCCTTCTCTCCTTCTAGTGTAATGATGGTTATCTATATAATAGATAAATTGTAGGCAGTTGAAATCCTGTGCCCCTCTCTTTTACCCGTTGATGATGTATGAAAGTAAGGAATGAGAAACTTGGAACTCTTTGTCCTATCCAGGTGAGTGGGAAGCTTACAGCTTTGAAGGGCTTGGATGCACGATTGAAAGAGATCTGCAGCTACCTTGACCTTATTATTGAAGGGAAGCTTCCATTAAACCATGAGATTCTCTACCATTTACAGGTATTTCAATGCCCTGGCTCTCTTCCTTTACAACTCTAAACTTGGGAACTATTAATTTAGTGTGCATTAGTAATTATATGTTTTACGTTATCCAAAATGATTTATGCATTGGTAGTATTTTGGTTATTTGCAAAGATATAATTCTTGAAATTTGGGTAATTTTGGCTGAACAATGAATGTTATTTAGTTCTTATACAATGTGAGATATAAGTTGCCCAATTGCATAAGCTTAAACTTCATTCCAGTCTGTTAATAGCCTAGGTTTGACCATCTAAATCCAAAAACTAACAAGCCCTTCAGATTTGGAATTTTCATCCCATGGCAACGTTTTCAATCTGGATTATGAATTTCTAAGTAATTTAAAAATCGACATCATCAAATAGTTTGACCTGGATGTGAAATAGAACATCTGAAACCCCTTTCGGAGGTGGATGAGGCTTTTTGTAGTAGTCAATTAGTACAGCATTCGTGTCTCTACTCTTTCAGAATTTAAAGCATAGTTGGCTACTTTCCTCTGATCTTCCTTGTTTGGTGTGGACAACTCTCTACACATGCACATGCACTTGGACATTTACAGATGATTTCCTATCTTTATTGAAATATCTTCTAACTTGTGCAGGATGTGTTTAATCTACTTCCAAATCTCAATGTGTCTGAATTAATTAAAGCTTTTGCAGGTAAAGTAGCTAGAAGTTGAAAGTTTTTTGATTTATTTTCCTGTTGAACACTGCATTGTTTATCAGGATTTTGAAGCCAAGTCTTTAATTGAATTACTGATGTGATTCTGTTTACAGTGAAAACAAACGATATGATGTTGGTCATATATCTTTCATCCCTTATCCGAAGTGTGATTGCTCTTCATAACTTGATCAACAATAAGGTGAGAAGTCCTGGAGTTCTGTGCATTGCTTTCTTTTTTAGGTTGCCCAACATATCAAAATTGAAGCATTAGTATCGTTTTATCTAGATGTAAAATACTGGAGATTTAGCTGTCTTTCGTGTCCAGACCTCTCTGGAGATAGCAATTGAAAATTTGAAATTAACATTAAAAATACATTTCTTGTTTGATGTTAAAATGTTGCCTTAAGGAGTATTGTGTGTTTGGTTAATCAGAAATGTGTACGGATGAATTGCAATATTATAAAAGATGAAAACTTGGATTGATTAACTTTTGTGCTTAGTAAACACTTGCATTTGGCACTTTTCATTTTGTAAGTACCCAACCCTATGTTGACAAATTGTTCTTAATCAAACTGATCACACATTGTGATTCATAAAAGGAAGCAAAACAAGTATGCATTTTGCATCTTTGTTCAATAATGAAATTAGTTTGGCCCTAACCAAGATCGGTTTCCTACAATTATATACATTCTGTTGTCTTTGACATTTTTGGACGCATGATTTCAGATGCTTAACAAAGAACACGAAAAGGCAGAAGATGCAAAGCCTATTGCTGTGTCTACTGCTGCTGGAAGCTAAGCATGAAAATTTTCTGTTGAGGCTTTGCTTTTCTGGGGGAATTCCAATGCAATGTTACCTTGGAATCCAGACTTCACATTTTGATGTTACAAGTCAATGCGCTCGCTTAGTTCAGGCTGGGCTTAGATTTTCTTGATAGTCATTCGATACGATTTTATGAACTTCTCAAATAGTCAGTTGTGACCTGGAACATGTATTAATAGAGAAAATATCACATTTTTTTTTACTTGAATAGGGATTTGTGTTGTTTGTTCTCTTGAATTAAATTTTAACCAAAGACGAGAGATATTTGAATAGAGGGAATGGTTTCAATTTGATTGTGTTTATGTGATTTATGCTCGAATTTAGTACTGCTTTACGCCCTTGTGAATCTAAGCCATGACGAAGTGCAACAAAGAAACTGATGAGCAGACGACTTGAATGTTCAAAGCTGACCTGATTCACCAGTTATTTCATTCAATTTCCGACATTGAAACAAGAAAACATGAATTGAGACAGTTATTTGAACTCCCCGACATTGAAACAAGAAAATATGAATTGTGATGCAGTCGGTCTCGAATGGTGCCCGAGTCTGCTGTATTTTCATTTCTCTGGCCACTCTTCAAGACGTCAAGCGTCGATCTTTGCTTGAGCCAGACCTTGACTTTTAAAGATTTATTGGGGACTTCGATTGCACCACGCGTCTACAAGCAAGCAATTGAAAAGGGGTGAGGGTGATGGCGTGGAGCAAATGTGTAGTGATTTTTGACTGTGTTGGTATATATGAAAAATCAACTTTGGATCAACGGTAATGATTGAATACATATGAAAATTCAAGAGACAGGGTTAATTAGAGAGATGCCAACAAGGTGTTTGTGAAAATCTAAATGTAAATATGGATTAAGGTTTTATATTAGAAAGTGACACTTTTTTTAAAATGAAGAGAAGTATTTTTGAAATGTTACACCACTAGATCAAAATAATGACAATTGACAATATTGTAACACACTTACATTGTAAACCACGATTATATCAAAGGCGAACATGAATCCTCGAATCACGTCATTATTCTAGTGGTTGCACCATGATCACATTTACATGCTATGAGTATTATCTATGATTTAGAGCATGTTATAACAATCAAATACTTTTATTTCACATACTTAGTGTCAGATAATTTAATGTTATAATAATCACTATTTTTAAGTACAAGTGACAATAAGAGAAAAGTTGGACATGTTAATTTAATGTTATGTGTCAATGATCATTCGTAGACAGCAAGTTAGATTGCCAATTTTGGAAAGTAGATCTCAACTTGTACACTATACCTACTTTTTTGGAAACTATAAGACACGGCCCCCGCTTCGTCCCATAATGTTCAATTCGAATTTTCGTAAAAGTACCCTGAATGATAGGCATTAGTTTTTGTTAATATGCTTCACTGCGAGCAAACAATATGAAGTGTTGCATTAATAATTGAAAGGGTCAAAAGATTATAACAGATTCATAAGTTAGAGTTGGCACATTCCATCTGCAATGTTAAATCCTCTGAGGTCTGAAGAAAAACAAGATTTTACTCTTTGGTGTCAATTAGACGTTCTGTGGACTTCTGTCGCTTTCCATGGCGTCTAGCTTCCTTGGTTAGTAGGCTACAGAGCTGTATGTGGTAGACAGTTTATGCCTTGTCGATTTTGTCAACATAATGTAAAATGTCTGAACCTTATAGAACCTACACTATTAATCTCCTGGCCGAGTGTAATATTTTGTCTTGAAATGCAATACCAATTCACCAATCACAAGAGAAACAACTTAAAGGCTAGCTTCAGAATCTACATTCACCATATTCATGAAAATTTACACTAAACCAATTAAAATTGTTGTTACAACATATCATTGCTTTTGAAATAAAAAGTGGAAAAGCATATCACTTCTATACAAAGTAATCTGTACCAAATATTACATACGTCCTGTCCTTGCACAACTTCCTTTTTGCCTCATCAAAATATCCCCCGTCTGTCCTTTGACACCAAATCATTATCGACACATAATTCTCTTCTCGTTTTTTCTTGCTGTAAACAGACAATTGAATAGCCAAGCTGTGCCGAAACTGTGCTATGTTGAATGTATTCACATACTTAATTAACAAAAATTTTACAATTACCATTGCAACCGAAAAAAGAGGAGAGTAAAACAAATATAAAAGAATAAATACACCCTAATTACTTGCTAGTTGTGCATAACACACTTGACGAAATATTAACCGCAATAAGTTTTGCATTTATCAGGCTCACAAGTCACCTGACATCTGGTAAAAATTATAAACAAACGTGTTCTTTGTTAGAGTATGTGTCCAATCCACTCATAATCGGTTATAGAAATCAAGTGATCAGTTACAACAACAAAATCAGCAGCCAAAGATAAGTAGATAATGCAGCAGAACCTGGTTTCTATCCTCATTTCTCTAAATCAATTCCTATCAAAACCAAATGATAGACATTAGCTAGCTTCCTTTGTTAGTAGGCTACAGAGCTCTATGTGGTGGACAGTTTTTGTACTCCTATAATCTTTGAAGTTTGTTACATGTAATCCTATATATATTGGAAATCAATACAAGCACAACGTGAAAAAGAGAGCAACACAATTCAAGCACTATGTTTAACTTTTATCCTCAGTTTGTTTTCTTTACATGGTATCAGCTGGTAAAATGGCAAACGCCCGATCCTGCTACTACACTTCCACATCCAACACGACAATACCGTATTTTCCAATGACTTCCGATGCACCTACCTCCAATGACACTCCTTCCCTTCCCAAACCAACTTTCCAAGCCAGTTCCCAACCTGTTTCCCAAAAATTGGTCGGCCCCAACTACCTACCATGGAGCGTCCAATTTCTGGTCTTCCACAGGAGTTATGATCTTGCTGATCTTGTGGAAGAAGGAACAACCTGTTTCCCAAAAATTGGTCCGTCCCAACTACCTATCATGGAGCTTCCAATTTCTAGTCTTCCTCAGGAGTAATGATCTTGCTGATCTTGTGGAAGGAGATGTTCCTCCTCCCTCAAAAACTGTTTCTGATGGAACACCCAAACCAACATTCACATCGTGGTCAAAGAAAGACACGTGTGTTTTGAGCGGGCTGCTTGCTTCTATTTCAGAGAAGCTGGTATCCATTGTTTATGGCATGAAAACATCTAGACAAGTGTGGGAAGCTCTTCAGACTCGATTTTTCGCCTGCTTCATGGTGTAGGATTGCTCTATTAAAGAGACAACTTCAGACTATTACAAGGGAAATCGTTCCTGCACTGACTTTTTGGCAGAGGCCAGGGAAATAAGTGATCAAATGGCTGTTGCAGGCAAGGCCATTGATGACTAGGATCTGATCAGTTTTCTCTTGGGAGGCCTTCGGTCAACTTTCACACCCTTCATAACTTCATTTAACTTTGCTTGCCGGGACAAAGATCTCTCTTTTGATGATTTCCAAGGTGAGCTCTTGAGCTTTGAGACTCTTATTGATGGCCAAAATACTCTTGTTGTTGATTTTACAGCAAATCACAAAGGAAAAGGACCTCAGTTCCCTAGAAAGTCAAAGGCACAAACACAATTCTAATCACAGTTGCAGCCATTCTCTTCCACTCAAAATAAGGGCAATCTCTCTATTCCTGCTCCACGATCTAATCAAGCTTCCAATGATAGGCCAACCTGTCAGATTTGTGATAAAAGAGAACATACTGCTCTTTACTATTATCATCATTTTGATTTCTCTTTTTAGGGAAGATTACCACATGTTGATCTAGCTGTTATTGCTGCCGAGACCAACAAATCCTATGACCAGCATGTATGGTATGCAAATAGTGGAGCCAACGCCCATATCACTGCCAATGCAGCCAATTTAACTAACCAGGAGTCCTACGAGGGTCATGACACTGTCCAAGTTGGCAATGGCTCAAACTTATTGGTCAAGCATACTAGGAATTCCAATTTCTACTTTGATAATGCCTCTTCTAAACTTAAAAATATTCTTCACTGTCCAAATGCTTCGGCTAATCTCCTATCTATTAATAAATTGTGCTTAGATAATGATTGCTATTTTATATTGACTGGTGTTGATTTTAATGTGAAGGAAAACAAGAATAATCGCATCCTGCTTCATGAATTGGTTGAAAATCTATCCACTTGCTGGACACAAGAGTTTCTCAACTAAACTGCGTTGCCTCACTGCCACGCTAGGAATAAAAACTTCTTTGGATCACAGGCACAACCGCCTTGGGCGTCCTGCCAAGTCCACTTTAGATCATTTAGTTATTTGTCTTTGTCTGAGTCTCCAAATAAGTTAGGTTTTTGTAGCTCTTGTCAATTAGGCAAAGCCACCAAACAACCTTTTGCTGACTCTTCTCGACAGTCTACAAGGCCCTTACAGCTTGTTCACACTGATGTATGGATATCTCCAGTAACTTCTGTTGGTGGTAGTCGCCAACAGAATGTTGAAACCTTCAAAGTAAGGCTAGTGGCCATGGATTTTACCCAAAGAGAAGGTATTGATTACGAAGAAGCTTTATCGGTTGCCATGCTTAAATCTATTCGAATTCTTTTATCCATTGTTGCTCATTATGATTGTGAGGTTTGGTGAATGGATGTCAAGACAACTTTTTATATGGACATCTTAACGAGCTATCTACATAATGCAATTTGAAGGGTTCGTGAAAAAAGGCCATCAAAGGAAGGTTTACAAGTTGCATAGGTCCATTTATGGACTCAAGCAAGTGTTCAAGTCTTGAAGTGTAAGATTTGATCAAACCAATAAGACCTATGGTTTTGACAAAAAATCTGGATAAACCTTGTATATACAAATGTATGCAAGAGAAGAAAGTAGTTTTTATGATTCTTTATATAGATGACATTCTACCCATTAGAAATGATGTAAGGACATGATCATCTGTAAAGAAATGGTTGTCACAGCAATTTGATATGAAGGACTTGGGAGAAGTTAATTATGTTTTGGGAATCCATATCTTACAAGACAGGAAGAACAGAAGGATAGCATTATACCAAGCTTCATATATTGATAAAATATTATCTAAATTCGCAATGTAAAATTTCAAGAAAAGACAACTTCCTTTAAGATATAAAATTCATCTATCTAAGGAGCATTCTCTCAAGACTCCAACAAAAGTAGATTACATGAAAAAATTTCCTTATGCTTCAGCTGCAGGAAGCCCCATAAATGCTATACTTTGTATTAGACAAGATATTTGCTACGCTGTGGGTATTGTTAGTCTTTATAAGTCCAATCCAAGACCTGAACATTAGTTAGCGATGAAACATACACTCAAGTACCTT